ATAAATAAATAAATAAATAAATAAATAAATAAATAAATAAATAAATGGCCAGAATCAGACCATTAAAACAAAACAATCATTGTTTTGTTACATATGAGCATTGTTTTTCAGGAATGTGAAAACGATTTATATTTAATTTGATTACATTAAATACAACACTGTGTACTAAAAATCAAATTTAATAATCAGTTAAAATCTCAGCCTTTGGATGCTAAGAAGGGAGCAGAATGGAAAGCTACTTCATAATGAGTATTTAAAAGGAGATTAATTGCTAAACAACCATAGCATCAAAAAGTACTCTAAAGGCAACCAAAGCATCAAAAGCAAATAAATAAATAAAAAGTAGAAAAACCATCAATACATTTAAGGAAAGAAACAAGAAACAGAAGCTATTTCAAAGAAATCTGAAATTGCTAATTAAATTGGCAGGGGCTGGTTTAATGGAGTTTTTATATTCTTAAAAGCGTAAAAAGCCTTTGATTTTTACAGTGACACTTTGCAGGTTCCTGGTGTATAATCACTTGAATGGTGGAGTAGGAGACTAATTTCTTGCATAACCATCCCTTAATGGTGAAATCTTATAAGTATTTTTTCAAGCAATCTGTCCTACCTTATTTTGCAGTATCTATGTAATATCTATATGCAGATTTTTAAGTCAGGTTTAAAAAGGTAAAAGTATAACACAAAAACAAAACAAAAAAATCTGAAGAAAGTGAACAAATTAAAAAGGTCGTCTGGCTTTTTCTGAAGTTGTCCCTTTTATTGTTCTATCTAAGAATACATAATTATAGGTACAATACACAACAACTGAAGCTGCATGAGCTAACTACCTTATCAACAAGAAAAGTGAAAGCAATGGTCATAAATAATTTATAGAACAGCCCGCTAATTATGTGGACTGAAGTTTTTCAGCTTTTGTGATCATTATATAAAAATTCATAAAGGACATCATTTATTCCTCTCTAGGATCATTCTTGAGTGCCTGAGTACAAATTTTGAAAACTCAGAAAATTAACTAATTAAAGAATGAGCTCACTCTTTACTTAAATAATTTAGCAGAGATAATTAAGCACAACAACAGTGACAATATTTCAAACGGAGTCTGTTATTTGAAATCTGCTCTTGAAGCATGGCTCCAACTAGTAAGCATTCTTGATCAATGAAAAGAAGACATTAAAATAGAAGCAAAACAGCCATAGGAGAATGTGTATTTCATGAACATTCTTATCGCTACAGTGATTTTGCTTATAAAAGTGTTAAGCACAGCTGTTGACATACATTGAAATCTGAAATTTATGAAAAATCCCCATTATTAGATGACAGTACTGACATTAGAATTAAATTAATTCTAGAGTCCTTAGTTCTGACCTAGATGTACAATCATAAGCAAAGACCTTTAAACACATACTGCACGTAAAAAATAGACAGGGCTTCCACTGCATCATCTCACCCACCATTATAACTTTTTTGACAAAACCTGCAGATACCTTTGATGTTAAATGTGACCGAATAGAAATGTTACCATTATAATGCATCTATTTGATTACATGTGTCCTTTCCTAATAATTTCATCTTCTTGTTTGTGAGGTTTGTTATTCTCATTGTGACTTACTTTATTGGTCCCAGTTTCTCATAGTCTTCCGTTATAACTGCTCGAGCTCTGCCTTCTGCATCAGCTCTTATCTCAGATTTCTTCTTTTTGCAGTCTCTGATAATCAGAAAAGAGTGGACGGGGGGGGGGGAGTTACTCAATTTAAGTTGTGAAGCCATTTCTCCAGATCATCCGCAATATTTATTGTAAGGTTAAGATCCTGGCTTGCAGAAAAGAATTCATAATGCTGTTGATTAATATGATTCTATTTTCTGATTTTTGTAATTATAAAATTTTGGATGATTATTTGTAACATTTTGTTAAATTTGTTTTTTAACTTTAGAGAAATTAGGTTACCGTATTTTTCAGAGTATAAGATGCACCAAGATTTTGAAGAGGCAAATTTTAAAAAAAAGTTTTTGCACTCTGCAGACCTCCCCAAAATGGCCCATTTTTCATGAAAACGGGCATGCATAGCCTTTAGGAGGCTTGTATAGTGCTCCTGGGGGCTGGGGAGGCAAAAGTAGCAAAAAAGGGCCAGTTTTTTGTCCTAAAAAGGGCGTGCATAGCCTTTAGGAGGCTTATAGAGTGCTCCTGAGGGCTGGGGGGAGGCAAAACGAGCAAAAAACAGCCCATTTTTCTCTCATTTTTACCCTCCGCAGTCCCAGGAGCACTCTGGAAGCCTCCTAAAGGCTATACACAGCGATTTTTGCAAAGTGGGCAGGGTTTGGGGAAGCTAAAAATGCTGTATTCAGTGTATAAGACACACCCAGTTTTTCACCCCCTTTTTTGAGGGGAAAAGGTGCATCTTATACTCTGAAAAATATGGTATATGTCTAAGAGATACTTTTGAATGACAATTCTGTCATGCCATGAGAGTACACTATTTACATATATGGCTATATTCAGCATCACTGGGGCATTTAAATAATATATATTATCATTATTTTAGCAGCCAAATGACTTTTTAAAAGGTTCCGTTCTATACCTATGAAATCCTGTTTCTAAGAAAGAATTCTAAAGAAAATGCCTCTATGAAGAAAATGAAGGTCTAGATTTGTCTGCCTGGACATTGGTACATGTGATCATTCATTGAGAACATTCATCTTGGCATTTTTGGCAAATGCCAATTATAAAATTGGAAAGAGTTAATAATATGGGTGGAAATGGTTGAGAATTTCCACAAAATGTGGCAAACAAAATATTCTTTAAAACAAAGTGAGAATGGAATTTAAGACGCTATCATGTTGAGAATTATTCCGGGTACATTCTAAGAAACTCAATATTTTTGTATTTTTGGTTAGTAAAATAACTGAACATCTTTCTTTTCTCCTATCAGCAGCAAAAATACTTGTACTGTATATGCAAAAAAAGAAAGAAAGAAAGAATCAGCCTCCCCAATTGTAAAAAGAATGTCACTGTCACTATAAAAACTATATTCACAAATATCCAATCTTCTGCACCTATGCATTATCTCTGTGCATTGAATGACTTCTTATTTCTCACTTTATCACAAAGTTAATCCATTTCAAAGGGATTTCTCACAGTTTACAGCTAGTCTAGTAACAGTGCATTCAGAAAGTATTCAGACCACCACTTCACTTTTGTCAATTTTGTTTTGCTGCAGCCTCATTCTACAGTTGTTGACATTCATTTTTTTCTCAGTAATCTACACTCAGAACCCCATAATGACAAAGTGAAAATAGAATTTTAGAAATATCTGTAAATTTCTTAAAAAGAAAAAAAACTTTTGGGAAAGAATACGTGAATGTCAAATTACATTATTTTATAATAGAGATTATTTTAAACGTAGCATTATTTAAAATACAGATGTTGCATTATCATAATCTTCATCACCTCATCTTGGCAGTGAAAGCAGCTAACATAAAAAATGTCAAGAAAACCAAATTAAAAACTAGCTATGAACTAGCTCAGACAACTTATCCTGTACTATAGGCAGTTTATTATTATGATGATTGTCTTTAAAGTTTAGAAATGTCCCTGAATTCCTTAGAAATGCCTTCAATTTGAAAATAAATGAAAAAGGCATCAGTGGAGATGAGAAGAGGATGTTGTAAGTACACAGATTACAAAAGGCTTACAATAAAACAGTTACCAATTAACAAATTGCATAATAAAATCATTGAAGTTTAATCCTTGTCAAATGTAACATGACCTGGTCCAAATTTCCAGGGAGATAGTTTAACTCTAATTCTGCAAAACCACTGAAGCTTGAAAGAAGGAAAAACCCACAAGCTTTTTACTTTCATAGAATGTGAATGTCTACTGTCATCACAGTGCATGTAAAGAAAACCAATAATTACAAGAACAGAACATTTCTTCTAGTTACTGAATATTCAACAGGTTTTTTTTTAAAAAAAATAGTCTTTGAACCCAATACTCATTACAGCAAATTAGTGAAACTCCCTGCAGCTCTCAACAAAACTATGTCAACATCAGTTTCAGAATTTTTAATCATGATGGAAGAATAAGTGTAGAAAGAACTGAAAATTCTTCCAGGATTAGAAACATCTCTACTATTTCCATTTCCCAGTTGAAATATCTTGCTATGTGTCATTTGTGTGTAATGAAAAATTCCAGTTTTAAAAGTCATCATGTTTAGGAAGAAAGGAAACAAGCACCATCGTTTAAACAAAAATGATTTTACAAAATGAAGGCCATCACAGAAAATTATATAAATGAAAAGAGGTTAAATATACATTCAATTTAAAGATGTCCCTCATTCCAGCTTTTGGATGAACACGCAGTTAAATTAATTATTTGAATTGCAAATGAAAACAAATTCAAATTATGTATATAACTTTGATGTAACAATACCTTAAGCTAATGCATCCATAAAGGAAGCATATCCAGAGCCATCCAAAAAAAAGGAAAAGTACCATTAAGGGAAAGGCAAACACAAACCAAGAGCCAAAGTTCACAACATCACATCCTGGAAAATAACTTAGAGAAAGAAAAAAACCAATTAATACAAAGTAGAGAAGATGTCTTTGAATACTTTTGAAATACTATGAAATATGTAGCCAACGCAATATGTCTTACAGCCTTCCAAAACCAATGTATAAAATGCAGTTAATAAAAAATTAGCCATGATTAGCTGAATTTTTCCCTACATCCTCTAGGAAAATCCTACTCAACAGTCCTAATCCTGTGATTCCTGACACACATACTGGCTGACTTCATAGATTTCATTAATCTATGCTGTACATAATAAACATTTTTAAACAGGGTCACAATAAGTTGGTCTAACCATTGTCGCTAGATTCACATAATATAATATTAGATTCACGTAATATATTAAGCCAATAAGAAAAAGTCACATTGTGCATTGTGTGAACTCTGGCTAGTATCTGAGGATTTCCTTTTAGCATTGCCAGTGTTGTTAGTTTTCTACAAATACCAGATGCCCAATTCTGGCAAAAACTGTACCTCTTTAATTGTCCTGAAAGAATGAGATTCGGGGCTGTCCCAGTTAGTGTTGCTGTTCCACCAATACTAGCAGCATAAGGGATGGAAATCAGAAATGCTTTCCATACATTTGCCTTATATTGTTCTTCCTTCATTACATCCAAGGAAATGTTAACTGTGACGTCCTTCTCTTCAGTCATATCTTTCCTTCAAAACATTCCAAATAAAAATATAGCATTTGAAATACATTTTTGCTTATAGGTCTACTGTTACCTTCCGAGATGAATATTTGGGGCATTTTGTATATTGTAATTAATAGGATTCTTCTGCAAAGGAGTAAAGCCTCTATGGGTTCAGGTTGGATTAAGTTTGAAGCAGCAATAGACTGCACCAGTGACATCCAATGTTTTGATTAATTTTAATCTTTTTTTTGTTTAGGATTGTGACTATCTTTAAGTAGATGAAAAGTAAAAATGGTGTCAACTCTACATTTAATACAGAGATGGGAATGAAAACAGAGGGCATGCTCAATATTTTTTTGAAGGAGGACATTATAATGTAAAGGGGTTGAAGCTATTTTATATGAACAGGAAGACTTAGACTAGGGTCCCCCCCCCATTTTGCCTATCATTGCTTTTAATGTATGTAGAACATGAAAATTCAGCAGACACAACTTTTCTTTCTTCCGCATTTTTGTTTTTGTTATCTTTTATGCAAGTATGAAAAATACTTAAATTCTGGAGGTTTGTTTCCTTTAAAGACAATAGGAGAAAAGTTAATTTGATGGGCCATAAACTCAGTGTCAGAGCATGCACTTAACTTGCAGAGGGCTCAAGGTTCACTCTTTAACATTTACTGTAAAAAGAAATAAAAGAGCAAGGAATGTTTGCCAGAAGGAACAGAAGACGCTGCCTCATACCCAATAGCTTAGCCATAGCTGAATCTTAGGTAAACTATAGACTAGGTCCATTTGTCTAACACAATCAACACTGATTTGCAGAACCTTCTCAAATAACTCATTCTGGAGATGCCCAATATCATTATTACACGTAGCCTTATTGAACAATGCCTTTATTGGATTTTGTGTAAAACTACTATTTAACAAATTTAATAATACATGTGTGAACCTGCTTTCCTTTCCATTTTCTTATACCGGCATAGCAAAGAGGTAAGTTTTGCTTTCATTTCCAATTAATTACAGCATTGTTCTTATTGATTATATCAAGTGTAGTTGATCTGAACCAAAATTTAATCAAGGTAACACAATCTTTTCAGCTCTGGAGGCCACTATAGTAGCCACAGTTACCAATGTTGCATTTCCCTGTGTTTTTGCCTTCCCAACAAAAGGCTTTCTCCCCAATGCAGAAGCCTTTTATTCCAATCAGACAAACAAATGATGGAAGGACTGTGGTGTGATGCTATCCTACCATTATAATTATACTTGGTACCCTGATATAGACAATACCCTTCCGGCAGATAATTGACCGGAAAAAACATAGTACCATTACAGCAATCTCCCTTTCTACTGACTGAATTCCATATGGACAGAAGAGAAATCTCTTTCGCAGCATTCAAACTGGTGGGACTTGGAGTCACTATTTTTTTTTTTTTTTAGAAAACTAAAAAGATTCCCCAGGCACCGTTTAAGCAAGCCAGGATTACAACCATATTTTAATCTTGACTTGTAAGGCTAAACCAGTACTAAAACTAACCATGATTAATCTCGGTCATGAGGACATCCTGATAAACAGCAGCTCCTTGAAAATGGAAGCAGGTGGTTTTCCCCTTGCAACCATATCAAAGGAAAATGGAAGAATGCATACACAAACCCCAAATTCTCTTTCCAGATTTCTCAAAAAGGGACATCCAGTTATATGGAACCATGGCCAGAATTCTGGTGCTGTTGAGAATTGTGGGAACTGCGATCTGCAAGCAGTATCTAGAAATGCTACTAAAGAGGATGGGTGTGCTGTTGATCAGTAGATTTATTGCACAGAATTACAAAAACATGTATAGAAAGATCTTCTCCACATAGCAGCTTGGAATCCTACCTTCTCTATAAATTCATCCCCAGATCCAAACCCTAGTTGTCTTCTTAACATCTTTTTTGCATCAAAATCTGTGCTTATTTCTCAACTGTGAAGGTTCCTGTCCTTATTTACAAAATGTCATTCCCTACTAAGAAAATTAGAAAATCCCATATCACTAGTTCCCCAAATCTTACAAAATATAGCAAGATATGGAAGATTACTTTCCATAAAAACAGCAATATATGCCTTGGAGATTACTGCCAAGTAAGCAATTTGATATTTCATAATGATAGTGTCTTCCTTTTCAATAGCAACTTACTCATTAGCATTTGTCAGAAGCTGCATCTCAGTTGGCACCATGTGAAGTTTATTCTGATGTACTGAACCTAAAAAAATAAACATTTTAAATGAGTATTTAAACAGAACAGAAAAATGATTCTTAAACTATATTTATATTATTATCATATTTATTAAACTTTATTATACAGTGTATGTGACTTGCATTGATTCCTACCATTATCAAAAGTGGTCTTCTTTGATATCTGCTTTTCAAAAAAGGCATATTCTGGTCATTCATAAAATTATGTTTTATACTTTAGAGCTCCATTAATGTATCTAATCACCTCTTAAATTCCATATACATTGATCTCTGCCATTTGTAGAAGCAGAGTTGCTAGTCTCACTATGCTGCATGGAATATTACTTTTTGATTTTTTTGAGGTTCTAAGGTAATTTTAAAAGTTTGCTGAGTACCCACAGGGCAATCATGGCATCATAAGAGAGTTCACAAATTATACTGGCTCAGAATATGATTTGGTTGCTTTTTGGTTTACGGCACCAAGCTCAAAGAGCACCAAGGATATTATAAATATTACATTAATGTTTTTGGCGTTTTTTTTTTTTTTAAAGAAACAATAAATCTTCTTGCAGTTGCATATCTACTACAGCAGATATAGCAGATATGCAACTGCATATCTACTATATCTATTTCCAAACTCCCTGGAAACTTTTACATCTGATGGTGCCATATTTATTTTATTCATCTTATTGGGATTTTTCAAGATTCATAATTAACAAAAATCATCTTTAACTTTGTTGCCTTTTTTTAGAAAAAATATACTTATTGGTATTCAGTGAAATGCTTGTTTTTTGTATTTATTAGAATCTTATTTTTTGCAGAGGGACATAATTAGGATCACTAGGGTTTAAAATACCCCGGGGAGTTTTAATTGTAACAGAACCTGTGCTCTTTTGACCCTAAATCTTCTTGTATAAACTTTTCCACTTGGAACTGTCATCTTCTTTTACTTCTTTCTTCATACTAGGACAGACAGGATATTACAAAAAAGCACAAGGTGGACAAAGTCTATGAACCTGCTCACTCGGCTTGTTGAAAGTATGTGTCTTACTGCTCAGTGAACCTGTGACTTTTGCACTGTCATGTTTTATACTTCACCATTTCACCAATCCTGGCATTCTTTCTTATTTAGGCAATAAAATGGTGTTTCAGCTCATTACTAGAACAACAGGGAAGGAATTAAAACAATAATATACCGCAGATGCATTTTCCATTCAACTGTACAAAAGTATATGTCTCAAACTGGGCAAATGTTGACACAATCTAGTTTTTGAGTTTGTTCAAACCATTAGGGAAAGGATTATGTTCTCTGGAACAGCAGGTCTGTAATCAAGAACTTCTTGTCCTTGGCTATTTAGATCTACTGAGGGTCGTGATGCCAGAGAGGATTGTCTTAGATATGAGTGAACCTGGGATGGTTGGATCTGGCCACAGTTATCCATGTCTTGGTTGCACAGAACTCTGAGACTATCCTTGAAGAATAACAAAAAGCTTTAGTTAGCAAACTGTGTGTCAAGCCAAAACCTGACACAGTGAGCTAGCTAATTTGCTACCATATAGAACAAGAGTATCAAACTGAAGGCCCACGGGCCAGATCCAGCCCACAGGGTGCTTAGATTTTGTCTACGGGGCCACCCCGGAAATAGTGAAGGATTGACACACAGTGCCTCTGCCAGTGAAAACATAGTTCAGGGCAGGGGTGGGTTTCAACCGGTTCGCGGCGGTCCCTGCGAACCGGTTGGTCGCCGAACCCGGAAGTAAGTAACTTCCGGGAATGGCGAAGCCCCACCCCCACCCCCGCGCGCGCCCGCGTGCCCGCGCCCGCTCCTTACCCGGTTTTGATGAATTCTG